ATATATATTATTGTTGTTAAGTGCCGTCAAGTCGTCTCTGACTCATAGAGACCCTATGCACAGCAGAACAAAACACTGCTAGGTCCCGTGCCAGCTCCATGATCCTTGCTATACTTGAGCCCATCACCATAGCCACTGTGTCAATCCAGGGCCTTCCCCTCATTCATCGACCATCCACCTTACCAAAAATGACATCCATCTCCAGGGAATGATCCCTTCTGAAAACATGACCAAAGTAGATGAAATGAAGTCTGGCCATTCTTGCTTCCAAGGAGCATTCTGGCTGTACTTCCTCCAAGACAGATTTGCTAGATCATTTAGCAGTCCATGGTACTTTCAGCATTCTTTGCCAGCACCATAACTCAAAAGCATCAATTTTCTTCTGTCTTCATTATTCATTGTCCAGCTTTCACATGCATATGAGGTGATTGAAAATATCATGGCTTGTGTCAGGCGCACCTTAGACTTCAAGGAGACATCTTTGTTCTTCAGCACTTGAAAGAGGTACTTTGCAGCTGATTTGTTCAGTGCTATACGTTGCCAGATGTCCTGACTGCTGCTTCCATTGGCATTGATTGTAGAACCAAGCAACGTGAAGTCTTTGACAACTTCAAACTTTTCTCCATTTATTGTGGTTCTGTTTATAGGTCCATTTGTGAAGATTTTTGTTTTCTTTATATTGAGATGTAATCCATACTGTAGATTGTATTCTTCAATCTTCATCAGTAAGTGTTTCAAGTCATCCTCACTTTCAGCAAGCAAAGTTGTGTCATCAGCATATCACAGGTTGTTAATGATTCTTCCTCCAATCCTGATGCCATGTTCTTCTTCTTATAGTCCAGCTTCTTGGATTATTTGCTCAGCATACAGATTGACTAACTATGGTGAAAGATACAATCCTAACACACTCTCTTCTTGATTTTAAACCATACAATATCCCCTTGTTCTGTTAGAATGACAGCCTCCTGATCTATGTATAGGTGATAGATTTTATGCATTGAACAGCACTAGCTGAAGACCAGGCAAGCTACAGGATGACAACAAGGACATCATACATGAAGTAAGCAAAAAGTCATTAAAAGAGGGGAGAGGAAGAAGAGACCAAAATAGATGTCAGAGGGGACTCTGAAAGTTATCTGTGAAAGGAGGTTAACTAAAGTGAATGGAAGACATGATGACGTAAAAGCTGAACAAAAGATATTGAAGGGCAGCTCAAAGGGACAAAGTAAAATACAACGAAATGTGCAAAGACCTGGAGTTGGAAAATCAAAAGTAAAGAACACACTGAGCATTTCTCAAGCAGAAAGAAGTGAAGAAAAAATTCAAGCCTCAAATTACATAATAAAGAATTCTATGGGCAAAATGGGAGCTTTGGTAGCATAGTGGCTAAGACACTTGCCTGCTAACCAGACGGCTGGCAGTTCAAACCCACCAGCCACTCCTCGGAAGGAAGGTTGGGCAATCCTACTTCCGTAGTGATACTGCCTCGGAAACCCAAGGAGGGGTCGCTATGAGTTGGGTTTGACTCGATGGCACATAACAACAACAACAACGATGGGCAAAATATTGAATGATGCAGGAAGCATCAAAAGAAGATGGCAGGAATATACAGAGTTGCTGTACCAAACAGATTTATTTGATGTTCACCCATGTCAGGAGATAGCATATAATCAAGAAGCCATGGTATTGGAGAAAGATGTCCAAGCTGCCCTGAAGGAATTGTTGAAAGGCAAGCCTCCGGGAATTGATGGAACACCTAATGAGATGTTTCAACAAAAGAATGAAGCACAAGACACACTCAGTTATGCCAAGAAATTTGGAAGATAGTTACCTGGCCTACTGACTGGAAAAAAATCCATATCTGTGCCCATTACACAGAAAGGTGATCCAACAGAATCTGGAAATTATTGAACACTATTATTAATGTCACATGCAAGTAAAATTTGCTGAGGATTATTCAAAAACGGTTGCAGAACTGCCAGAAATTCAAGCTGGATTAAGAATAGGATGTGGAATAAGGGATATCATTGCTGATGTCAGCTGGATCTTGGCTGAAAACAAAGAATAATAATAATAATAAAAAAGACTTTTATCTGTGTTTTCTTGACTATGCAAAGGCATTTGATTGTGTAGATCTTAACAAATTATGGATAACATTGCAAAGAATGAGAATTCCAGAACGCTTAATTGTTCTCATGCAGAACCTGTACATAGAACAAGAGGAAGTTGTTTGAACAGAACAAGAGCATATCGTATAGTTTAAAATCAAGAAATGTGTGTGTCAGGTTTATATTGTTTCTCCATAGTTATTCAATCTGTATGCTGAGCAAATAATCCAAGATGCTTGTATATGAAGAAGAATGCGGCATCAGTATTGGAGGAAGACTCATTAACAACCTGCAATATGCAGATGACATAATCTTGCCTGCTGAAAACAAAGATGGTTAGAACACTTACTGATGAAAATCAATGATGACAACCTTCAATGGAGGTTACACTTCAACATAAAAAGGACAAAAATCCTCACAACTGGACTAATAAGCAACATCACAATAAATGGAGAAAAGATTGAAGTTGTCAAGGATTTCATTTTATTTGGATTCACAATCAACAGCCAATGAAGCAGCTGTCAAAAAAAAAAAAAAAAAAAAAAGACATTAAACCTGCTGCAAAAAGATCTTCTTAACGTGTTGAAGAATAAAGACATCATTTTGAAATCTATGGTGTGCCTGTCCCAAGCCATGGTATTTTCAATAGCCTCATCTGCATGTGAAAGCTGGGCAATGAATAAGGAAGACTGAGGACAAATTGCTAGATGGGATTTGTTGGTAAAGAACATTGAATGTACTACGTACAGACTGCTAGAAGAATGAGCAAATCTGTTTTGAAGGAAGTACAAATGGAATGACCCTCAGAAGAGAGAATGGCCAGACTTGTCTCCTGTGTACTTTGGTCATGTTGCCAGAAGGGACCATTCCCTGGAGAAGGATATCATACTTGGTAAAGTAGTGGGTCAGGAAGAAAGACGAAGGCCCTCAACGAGATGAATGGACACAGTGGCTGTGAAGATGGCTCAAGCATGGCAACGATTGTCAGGATTGTGCAGGACTGGGTAGTGCTTCTTTCTGTTGAACATAAGGTTGCTGTGAGTTGGAACCAACTTGCTGCCACCTAACAATAACAAGAACAACCTCACACTTAGTCTCAATATATATATTGTTCTTGTGCGTTTGTATTTTTACATACATAATGGTACTTTAGTTTATAACCCTTAATATTAATTTTTAATTCTCATTCACATAAATTCTTATCCTACTTTCCAATTTTGCATATCAACTCTAAGATACGACTCACTTTTTTATTGATTTGTGTCTCTTGGGTTTTTGCTGCCAGTTTAAAAGCTCTTCATTTACTTATTAGCCATTCAGTTTCTCACTTTCCTGGATTATCTTTTATTTCGTTTGTTGACTTTTTTACTGATTTTCTTTTTATTTTTGATTGATCATTTTTTTTTATTTTTTCAGTGTGTTCTCCTCTCTCCTCCCACTCCTGGTAACCAACAAAGAAAGTTACCTTCCATATATAAACCTATCCTTGACTTTTTACAATAATGAACTAATACAATTTGTCTTTCTGTAACTGACTTATTTCACTCAGCATAATGTCTTCCACATTGATCCATGTTATGTGGTGTTTTGTAGATACTACATTAATCTTTAGTGTTACACAGTATTCCATTGTGTGCATGTACCATAGTTTGCTTATCCATTCTTCTGTTGATGGGCACCTAGGTTGTTCCATCTTTTTGCTGTTGTAAATAGCACTGTGATGAACATGGGTGTGCATATATTATTTGCTCTTATCCTCGCTTTACTTCTTTAGGATATATACCTAGTAATAGTATTGCTGGATCAAATGGTATTTCTAAATCCAATTTTTTATGGAATCACCATCATGCTTTCCACAGTGATTGTATCATTTGATAGCCCCACCAGCAGTGTATGAGAGTCACAGTCTCTCCATTTCCTTACCAGCATTCTGATTTTCTGGTTATCAGGGGTTAGTGACAGTTTTTTAAGGATAAACA